AACACCTGGGCGAAGTAAGGCAAGCGTTATAAGCTCAAAACAGAGAAAACTGGGAAGAGGAACGTGTAAAACAGAAACGAGAAGGAATTGGGAATCGTAAGGTAATTTTTTAAGTAGCCGTAAAATAAAACATTTCGTGCAACTGCTCATTTTTTGGCCATGGGCTTCAAAAAATTCACACTGGTATGTTTTCGTGGATTTACTCGGCAAAAAAAACTTTAAAAGAAAATTCATAAGGGCTAAGGAGCATACCTTTTGAACGACAAAACGCTAGTGCATTACAATAGCTCTGCTCTTCCAACGGAGTGAAACGCAGGACAGTTAGTTCCGTGCTTTTATGCGGTAAAAACATCTGCAAATTTCGCCAGTAAAAACCCTGTCTAGCAACAAAATTTGGCAAGTTATTAAAACTTTCTCATACGAAAACATTGCAAATGCGTCAAAAAGCGCAGTGTGACACAAGAAACAAGTAGAAAATTTATGTCTGATGTGGCAAATGCTGCACAAAAAAAAAAAACAGAAAATACGGAAAACTTTTTAACTCCTCAAAAGAAATTATTTGGATCTCGAAGGACTTTTGTGAAAAAGCCCTCTTCCACTCATATATGGAACAGGACAGGACCGAACAATTCGCTTTCACACCGAGATGTGACGTGCTATACCGCTGCACTATTTTTCGAGAACAGAGCTTTTCATCGAAAACTGTTCTGAACTAATAAGGGAACGAACCACTCCCCTTCACGTTCCGACGCGACGTGTTACCACTGCACCACCAGTCCCTGTGCCCCAAATTCAGTCTGGCAGCACATCTACTGTGTATCTGTCTTTCAAAGCAAGACACGCTTTCCTTTTTTCTCTCCCTTTTTTGTGCAGCTCTTAGTCGGTTTTTCGCGGGTTTTCCGCGACATCAATGGCCTTTCAACCCCAGGGTTAACCTCGAGGCAATCCTATTGGACCTGCACGCAACTTTCCCTCTCGTATCTGCTTTTCCCAGAAAAAATATATATTTCTGCAGCAGGCAGCTTACTCCTTAACGGTTTTCGTGGGTTTTTCGCGGCAAAATTAGCAGGCAAAACGAAAACTTCTCCATGCAAGGCATATGCAAAAATATGAATGAGCTCATCTACAGGCAAAAGAAAGCTGGAAAAACAGGACATAACAGAACCAACAGATCATCAGAGACTTTAAAAAAAGTATAAAACCTGATCTGCAACGGTTTCTTTTGTGTTCCTCCACATCAATTTCGAAAAAATGCGCTTTAACGGTTCACTGTTACCCCGCCAGTATTCAGCCATCAAATCATTACGCCACCAACATTCATTCGAATATGGCTCCACATGAAGAAAACGCAGAAGTCCGTAGAGATCTGTAATAGTTTTCAATAACTATTCAACACTAGGCATA